TCCCCAATCCCTGAGCTGGTAACAGAGCTCCCCAATCCCCTGGGCTGGTAACAGCTCCCCAATCCCCAGCCCTATGGTGGAATTGCAGTGGCAGTTTGAACACGTGAATGCTCAGCTGTGTCTGACTTCTCCAGCCACTGGACAGTAAATCCTCGGAGCACAAAACTCCCCTTTACTCACCCGTGAGTCCCATTAGATAAAAGAACTAAATGCAATTTTACAATTATTTTTAATATATTTGGCTTCAAATTCTTGAACAGAACTGTCCCAGCTGTAAACAGAACGAGGGCCTTACCTGTCACTGAGCTCGTGTGTGCTTTACTGGGAAGGACCTTCATTCAATCACCTGCCATGGCAACGCCCCAAACTGTCAATCTGTGTCCTTAAATCCATTCCTCCTACAGCCTGATTTGCTCACGAGCCTCAGTTTTCAAATCAAAGTTTATTAAAATGTCAAAAACAGACCTTAACAGTTTCACATGGAAAGGGGAGGGTGTACATGGGACAGGCCTGGAGTAACAAATGCAGGGGAAAGCAGGAGGAGGCACAGCTGGGCAACCAGGGGAGAGAGGAACTGCAAACCCAGCACAAAAACAGCTCCTGTGGATCCACCAGGGACAGAGCTGGGTGTCCCAGCACACAAACAGCTCCTGTGGACCCACCAGGGACACAGCTGGGTGTCCCAGCACACACAAACAGCTCCTGTGGATCCACCAGGGACACAGCTGGGTGTCCCAGCACANCCACCAGGGACACAGCTGGGTGTCCCAGCACACACAAACAGCTCCTGTGGATCCACCAGGGACACAGCTGGGTGTCCCAGCACAGACTGCAGGGCTGCAGCCAGGAGAGGAACCCACCTGGAGCAAAGAGCAACGAGTTCTGGAGGGGCAGAAGATGACCCAGGCAGCTCTGGAGGAACAGGTTTTGGTGTTTCAAGCTTCATCAAGCCCCAAGGAGCACAAAGGGCTCACCTGGGACCCTGGCTTGGCTCCCGAGGGCTCGTGGGACTTTGTGCTCAGCTCTGCTCTCACATCACAAACTCCTCATTTCCAGCAATCATCAGCAAGGAGCAGATGGAAGGTTTAATACTCTGAGTCCTTAACTACTCCTTCTGCTAAAAATTAAATATTGGATTCATCTGAATATTGGAGAAAGACACATAAAATACAAAAGCAGGTACATAGTAACAAACATCGAACTTCTCAACCGCACTGCTCGGGCCTGGTTCTCATCCCAGCTTAGCCCAGCCACGAAATTCCACCCTCCTGCCTCTGCAGTGCCCCAGAGAACCGGGAGGGCTCCTGGGTGCTGTGATGTGGCTGGAGTCCTTCCCTGGGCTGGCCTCTTCCTGCTGTTCCACTTGGGAAGCAGCTCAAGGCACAGGGGTCAGCACTTGCTGCTCGAGATGAGTCCTGAACATCCCTCACCCCACAGAGGATCCTGCAGGTGCAGCTGTGCTGACCCAAGGGGGAGGAAACTGGGAATAACTCAGGGCCTCCCTCAGCCTTTTCCTGGCAGCCAGAGCTCCAGGGAAATGCCTTTTGATGGGATTTCTCCATCTTTGTGCATGTGCACCCTGATTGCTGGAGATTAAATCAAATGGACAGCACTGGATTACTCCTAAGACAAGCTTAACACAAAATACAACCTGCAGTTCAATGCATTAACAATAAACAGATCAGCACAGCCTGGGAAAGCACTGGGTGTCCTCTGCCACACCAAGGGAGGAGTCAAAGCTCCTGCTACTGACTCTGGAGGAACAAAAACGGGTGAAATCCTGGTGAAAGGAGCCCAGCCTGCCATGAAATGAGAGAATATTCCAGCCTGGAGCTGCAGTCTGAGCCAGGGCACGGCTGCTGCCATCCCTTTGAGCTCCACACCAAAGCTGCTTTAACCAAGTTCTAGGAGAAATGAGACAAAGCCTCCTGTGCCCTCAGGGCCCTGCTGCTCCAGCAATCCCAGTCCCTGCTCCCTGTCCTTGGTGGCCACAGGAACAGAATTCACTCCCAGCTGCAGCTGAGAGCACTCAGGGCAGGGTGGGCACAACATCCCTGGGCTCAGCCCAGCCCAGCCTCACCCCCTCCCTGGTCCAGGGCCTTCCCAAGGTGACTCCAGGACCCACAGAGCTTTTATGCATCAGTGAGCAGCAAACAAAGGGGAGAGAGGAAATTAATGCTGGAGTGGAGATAATCTCCCCTTTATCTCACTGCACTGCTGGGCCAGCTCACATTTTCCACTGGAAGTCATTTTACTTAAGGGATGATGAGGGGAGATTAACCAAAGTTTTTATGCATCATCTGAATCCTGAGTTTCAAAAGGCCTCAATTAATAATGGTCAGCAATTAATTATCCTTTAGCAAGGAGCTGTAGCTCTGGTTCCCAGTGGAAATCCAGGTTGGACTCTGTGCAAATTTCATATTAAAGTTGGGATTTCTTCCCATTTGTGGCCTCTGGACCAGGCTGGGCTCCTGCTCACACCATCACCTGTAATCCCTGCCTCTGGAATTTCAGAGGTCATTTTTATGGTTCATGCAGGAGGCACCAGAGTCCAATTTCCTTTGTGATTATGAGGACAACAACAACAACATTTGTCACCAAAATAAGCAAGTAAGACACTCATGGAGGAAACCCAGGGCCATTTTACAGAGCAGAGTTTTCCCCTCTCATTTAAACAGCCAAAAGTGAAATATTTCTACAAAATTCAGGATAGATTTTTCTTTGCAGCTATGCTAGAAACCTGTATTTGAACCAATGCTGAACCAATCCATGGTGACAACAGACCTGCTCTGTAAATGGCACCAAAAAAATCTCATTTTACACAGATCTGCAGTCAGAGGTGGAACTCAGATCAGACACATTGTAAAATTCCACAAATCAAACACCCTGCACAGAACAGCTCCAGTCCAGACTCAGGCAGAGGATCTTCCAGGAGCATCCACCACTCAGATTCTTCCCAAACATTTGCATTTCAGATTTCAAACAAGGCAATTCCTTGTTTCTGGAAGGAAAACTCCCCACACCATCCCTTCCTCTGCATTCCAAGCAGCTGCAGTGGCCTCTGGATCTGTTCTGGTGGCATCTGCTCCCCTCAGCTCCAGGAGTGCTGGGGTCTGGCAAACCAGGAGAGGCTGGCAGAGGTCTCAGAGGAACGAGCAGCTGGAAAAGGAGGTGCATGGAAATTCCTGGTGGGTGTTTGATCCAATCAGTTCCCCCAGTGGATCAGGGCACTCCCACAGAGGTTTGCAGGTCTAAAGCTTTATCAAAACCATCCTCAAGTCCTTCCCAGTCAGTCCTTCCCACAGCCACATCCAGCTGGTTTGTCTTTCATAGATTAAAAAAAAAAAAACAAGAAAAAAAAAAAAGATTTCCATAGGAAACTGATTATCACTTTCTCCCCTCCCCCTCTAATATTTTGGCACAAATGCATAAGATATTCACTGCAGATATAAAGAAACAGATAATTGGACAGCACTGACAAAGTTATGAGACTTATTTGGCAAACATGAACCATAAAAACAAGTGCTAAGGGTTTTTTTCCAGTTGTGGAATTTGTTTGCCACGACAGTTGCTGCAGGGATAAAAAATATTAAACAGTCTGGAGCATGTATGTTTAAAAGGAACATTTTATAATACAAGTAAATACACACTCTGCCGATTTCTCCAGGCAAAAACACATCTTAGAGCATTTTCATCAGCTGGAACAAGTTTCACACAGAGGCTTGGTTGTGTCTCAGATGTCCTGGCTGCTGCACAGGATCCCCCTGCAGGGCTGCTCCACAGCCAGGCCTGCACATTCCATCCCTGGGCACGGGAGAGGCAGGGACTGGGCAAAGCCAGCCCAGAGAGTGCAGAGAGCAGAGCCTGAACTGCTCCAGGCACGGCTCCCCACGGGACAATCATCCCTCTGGGAGCAGCTCCAGTCAAAAATCACTGCAGCAACACCACAAAGAGCCTCAAACTTGGCCTTTTGCTCCTGAATCCAGGCTGATCCATGGGGGCATCATCCCTCAGGCACCAGGCAAAGCTCTGCCTCCTTGCTGGAAGTCCAGTGTGGGAAATTCCTTCCTTTTGGGAACACTCCTGGGGGGATGAATTCTTTTGTGTGTTTGAGAAGCCTCCTTCCCCCGTGCTGCTGCAGTGCAGTGTGGATCAGCTGGGTGGTGAAGGAATGAGCAGGAGCCATCCCAGGAGCCATCCTGGAGTTCCACAAACTCTGCTGTTCCCATCCTGGAGTCCTCTGGGCTCTGCTGTTCCCATCCTGGAGTCCTCTGGGCTCTGCTGTTCCCATCCTGGGCTCTGCTGTTCCTGGGAGTTGTGTGAGGGAAGGGGAGGTTTCCTTGGAGCTGGGATGGCTCCTGTGCACTCACACAGCCCAGAGCCAGGCTGGCACTGCCTGCTCTCCACTGAAACAAGTCCAGCTCTTCATCCTCACCAGCTCCTGCTCCAAATTCCAACTGCAGCCCCAGAGCATCCTGACCAAAGTGCCGACAGTTTCAGTGGAAGTGGCTTAAATGGGTATTTAAAAACAACAACAAAACAAAGAAAACCCACTTCTTTTTTTGTTTTCAAAGCAGATTTTTTTTCTCATTGCTTGAGTAACTGGGGAGTTGTTTACTATGCCTTTGCTAAGGGTGTTCCAGAGTCTCTGTTGCCCCAGGGGCCCCCAGGAGGAGTTTCCTTAGGAGACGCTGGAGCAGCGGATGCTGGGGGAGCCCATCTGTGTGAGGACCTTGTCCAGCCACTGCAGGGGCCCGTTGAGGTGCAGCTCAATCCAGCAGGGAGTGCTGGTCACAGTCTGCCTCCTGCCAGGGGAGAGAGCACACAACACCCGTGTGACCCACAGGACTCACAAATGTCCGAGACTGCCCAGCTCCTGAGCGTGCCTTGCTGCTCACACAACCATCCTGCCCAGAGGAATGTCTCTCCTCTGGAGCAGCCTCTGGCCTGCTCTGCTGATTTCTTATAAAAACCCACCTTGTCCCTTCAGATTTGTCATGATCCCACAGGAGCACATTGCTCTTTGCTGCTCAGATTCCTGGGAACAGGCAGCTGATTCCCTGAAGGGACAGGAAGGTGTCTCTGCAAAATCCATTTTTCCCTTGCAGACCTTTCCTAGTTAGACAGCAAGGTCTGTGTTCACCAAGTGTGTTCAGCTTCCCTATGCACAAGGCAAGGATATTCGCTTTTTATTGTACCCTTGGGTTTTAGAATGTGGAAGTGCTGGGAAGAGCTCACCCCATAACTCCTTCCTGCACCCATGGGCCCTGCTGGGCCAGAGCTGCTCTGACCTTCCCCTGCACAAATCCCTGATCCCCTCCTCTGCCACTCTCCCTGAGACCCCACAGGGATCTCCAGATGGAAAAGCACAAAGAGATGGGGAGGAAAAGAAGGAAAGGGAGACCAGGACATGGCTGAGGCATGGCCGAGGTCTGGCTCCAGGCAGGGACAGCTGCTGTGGAGGAGGGAGATTACAAGGCAGGAGGAACAGCCTGGAAACAGCCTTGCTTTACACCCCCATTTCCACAGAAGCTGTCCTTGGAACCTGGTGGTGGGAGGGAAAACCTGAAATCTGTGGGACCCAGGGACAAACCAGGGGTGAAAAGGGGACCCTGTGCTTGGGGGGCTGCCCCGAGCTCCCACCCCATCGCAGGCTGCTCATGGATTTGGCTTCTCCCCCTTCCCTGCACCAAATCCCTGGCACAGAGGAGCCCTAAACCCCCATCCAGACTGCCCAAAGGTGAGCCAGCAATCAGGGAAGGGCTCCCTGGATGCTCCCACAGCAACATCTCCATGTGTGGAGCAGAAGGAAGGGCAGGATGGGCAGAGCAGCTCCGGTGAGAGCCCCTCGGGGATCCCGGACTTTGTGGAAGTCAGGCTCGTCTGCAGCTCATCAGGGCCTGGCTGGGAGCCAGCCCTGAGCTGCTCTGGCCCCAGCTCAGGACAATTTCAAAACAAAATGGACTCCAAACATCTGGAGAAATGAAGAGAGTGGCAGAGCAGCGTGCAGGGCCTGGGCTCCAGCTGGTCCTGAGGCATCTCCCTGCCCTGTCCTGCCCTGTCCTGTCCTATCCTGGCCAGCCCTGGAATGGCAGCAGCCCCACAGAGCTCAGAGTGAGGCCACAGCTCTAAAGGGTGCACAGTCAGATATTGCCACATCACCCTGGGCTGAAATCCTCCCCAGCTTTCCCTCTCAGCCAACAACACCCATTTACCACTGGATTTCATTTCCCCTGCCTGTGCCATCCATCCCTGATTGCTCTCCCTTGGATGTTTGCTCAGTGGGGTGACAGAGCAGAACCATGGAATCCTCTGCTCCCACAGCATCTCCAGTGTCCTTGTGGGGTCAGAGTAACCACATCATCCATCCCACACAGCTGACCTCCTGCATCTCCATTTTAGCCTCAGTATTCACTGGGAAAAACAGTGATCCTGCTGCTCCCACATTCTCCCACTTGTCCTATGGCAAGGATTGAGAGATTTAATTAAAATTTTAACTATAATATTTAACTATAACTTTGCAGCAACTCTCATGTTTCTTTTAAAATAGAAAATTTTCAAGCCAATCTGCTTTTATTTTAATCCCATTAGTCCCTGATGAAACAAGCATTAAATCCAAGCCATGGGAAGCACTCACTCTCACACTGTACTTCCACAAGGAATGGAGGGACAGGACACAGGGAATGGCTTCCCACTGACAGGGTTAGATGGGATATTGGGAAGGAATGAGGGTGGGCAGGCCCTGGCACAGGGTGCCCAGAGCAGCTGTGGCTGCCCCTGGATCCCTGGCAGTGCCCAAGGCCAGGCTGGAGCAGCCTGGGACAGTGGGAGGTGTCCCTGTCCATGGCAGGGGTGGCTCTGGATGGGCTTTAAGGTCCTTTCCAACCCAAACCATTCCAGGATTCTGTAACCCTGTCTTGATAGAAGCTCAGTCTTAAGACACTCAAACTATCCAATACACATCTAGTTTAAAGGAAAAAATGTCACATTTCCTACATAGATCAGGTGGATTTATCTGTGTGCTCCAGGTAAAGCTCTTGGTTCTTCCCACACGTGGCCTTCAGGTGTGTCCCACAGAGAGACCAGACCAACCCATTCCCAAGGGCCACAACTCACCTGTGTTCCTGAACACACACTGGGCTGATTCCCCTTTCTAAAGGGGAGGGAACCTCTGCAGGGCTCTCCCAGCTGGAGCAGAGCCTGCAGGAGCAGGAGCAGAGCCTTCAGGAACAGGAGCAGACCCTACAGGAGCAGGAGCAGACCCTGCAGGAGCAGGAGCAGACCCTGCAGGAACAGGAGCAGACCCTGCAGGAGCAGGAGCAGACCCTGCAGGAACAGGAACAGGAGCAGACCCTACAGGAACAGGAGCAGACCCTACAGGAGCAGGAGCAGACCCTACAGGAGCAGGAGCAGACCCTACAGGAACAGGAGCAGACCCTACAGGAGCAGGAGCAGACCCTACAGGAACAGGAGCAGACCCTGCAGGAACAGACCCTACAGGAGCAGACCCTGCAGGAGCAGGAGCAGACCCTGCAGGAGCAGGAGCAGACCCTACAGGAACAGGAGCAGACCCTGCAGGAGCAGGAGCAGACCCTACAGGAGCAGGAGCAGACCCTACAGGAGCAGGAGCAGACCCTGCAGGAACAGGAGCAGACCCTACAGGAACAGGAGCAGACCCTACAGGAACAGACCCTACAGGAGCAGACCCTACAGGAGCAGGAGCAGACCCTACAGGAGCAGACCCTGCAGGAACAGGAACAGGAGCAGACCCTGCAGGAACAGGAGCAGACCCTACAGGAGCAGACCCTACAGGAACAGGAACAGGAGCAGACCCTGCAGGAACAGGAGCAGACCCTGCAGGAGCAGACCCTACAGGAACAGGAGCAGACCCTGCAGGTCCCCACCTGTACTCGGCGCCCCAGCCCTTGACGAAGCTCATGCGGATGGTGCACATGCGGGTCAGCTGGTACACGGCCTCGAAGCCCTGGTTCACCGACTGGGCCAGCAGGGCAGCAAACTCCTGGTTGTTAAAAATCTTCAGGTTACAGCCTGTGGGAAAGGACAGGGACAAGGCATTGGCTTGGTGGCACTGAGAACTCTGGTTTTTGCAGAGGAACTCCAGGCTGCTCTCCCATGTCCTCAGAGCCCAGAGCCAGGAACTGAGGCTGCCACATTTTCACAGGGAGAAGGAGAGAATTCTGACTGCTGGAGCCCCCCAGCAGATTGTGACTGGAGAGACCAGGCTTGAGATCCTCCTGTAGAACCTTCCTCTCTCTCCTGGACACTATTCCCTTCCTATTGCAGTTTAAAGCCTGACTATGACTGAATACTCCACAGCAGAGATCCCTGCAGGGCCTGGAGGGGAGTAAAGGCTAAACCCAGGAGCTCCCTGGTGCTGGACTGGCACAGAGTCTGTCACAGAACAGGGAAATCCTGAAGTGAAACCGCTCTGACACACCAGAAGCAGCTCTGAGGGTTAAAGAGGCAGCCTGGGCTGGTGGCAGGGCTGCTCCTGCTAAAATCCTCTCCAGTTTCACTGTCACGTGCCAAACACTTTCCTTTTAAAACTGAAGTTTTTCCCCTGATGTTTAGCCCCAGCTAAACAACTGAGAACAATTTATTCAACTGTTCTTAGAGGGAAAAGGCGAAATACAATAACATCCTTCATAGTTTAGATAAATAAATAAATGCCCCTCTTTTTAAAAGTGTTGCTACGTTTGCTTTCTCCCAGATAATCATAAACAAGTTAAACTCTGAAACCAGGCACTCAGCTAAGGCTCATTTGGGATTACACACGGGCCAAGGCTGAAAAACAACATTTGGAGTGGGATGAATTGCGTTTTGCTAAAAATCACTTGTGAGCCTCCTCTCCTGGGCTGGACTCCTCTGGTGTGGAGCAAAGGGTGACCACAGCACTGCAGGAAGCACTGCCCACTTGTGGAATCAGGGGAGAGCCCAGGGGCTGCAGACTCAGGGAGTTTGAAGGGAAGTTTGAGGGGTGGAAGTGTCAGGGCCAGGCTGAGCTCAGGGAAGGAGGAATAAAGGGCAGGAGGATCCCAGTGCTGGATCCCAGCCCTCGGGATCAGATCACTCCATGGGGAAGAGTGGGAATGACTCGATCCTGCCAGCAAGGCCATGAAAAAACTGCATCAAACCCAGCAAGGGTTTGAAGGAGAGGCAGCCAAAGGCTGTGGCAGAAGTGGGGAGAGCTGGTATCCAAAAACTGCCTGAGCTGGGTCCCCAGCGGAAATGTGGGCTTTTCATGTCTGCAGATGTTGACTCCAGCCAGGGTGGACTCCTGTGATGTGGTGGAGAATTAAGTCATAATTTGCAGCACTGGCAGCTGCATCTGAGAAAGGAAACCCATTAGGATGAGCCAGAGCTTGGAGCGTATGGATCTCCTCTCAAAAGAAAAGAATTCAAATATTTCTAAACAAAGAAGTTCAGTTTTTAAATGTACACAGGCTTTTAACTGTAAAAAAGTCAGTTTGTGTAAGCTTAGCTAAATAACCAAATTCCATTTCAAACAGCATCTCCTCTCTTAGCAGCCTTTTGCATTTATCTAACAAAAAAAGCCTTTTCTTCCCAGCTAGATGAAATAAATTATCTTGTAATCTTTCAACAAAAACTTCAGACTGTAACCAGAGCAATGAGGTCTCTGCAAAATGTGATTTCTTTAGAACAAACTAATTCACACACAGGAGGGAGGGGATTTTACCAGAGACCAGAAAAAAGAGAACAATTTAAATATATTATGGGTGAAGCTAAATTAAAGAGAAATTTCTTACCATTACTTAGAAGCACAAACAAAATTACCAACGTGTCAATGAGATAATTACAATACAACAATGGACTGATAAAACAGATTCTGCTTTAAGCTGTGCTTAGATTCTGTTGTGTTGGATGAACATTGTGCAACTATTGCAGCCTCCACAGCAGCACCTCCATCCCTTATGCTATAAAAAATGCCCTGCTGGAATTATCAAGTGGCTGCTAAAAGAATAAAATACATTTTCCAGAGAATTTGTGGACTCCCCATCCCTGGGGCAGAATGAAGGTGTGGAAGGGGATGTTCCAACCTGTTGGAATCCTGGTCACTGAGAATTTCAGATTTCTGTGCTGACAGGCACTGACCCCCAGGAGAACACAGCCTTTGACCTCAGGATGAGGAGAAGGTTTCCAAAATTGAATGACAGAACTGGGATCATGGGTGTTTAGTTTGAATAGAAGTGTGCAATATCACATGGTGGAAAGCTTAGAATTTGGGGTTTTAGGATAAGGACTTGTCCTTCTTCTTTACCTTCTCCTTCATGGCTCAAGGTGATTTTGTTTGATTGGAAAAATCTGCACTGTGGGCCACGGGTGGTTGGTTATTGGGTTAAAAGTAAAAATAATTTAGGTGGACAGTTTACCCTTAAAGGGCCTTGTAGAGAGAGAGATAAATCTCCATTTTAACTTGTTAGCTAGCAGTGCTGAAGAAGTCACTGCAACAGAGATAAGAATTAAAACACACCCGAGTCCAAACACGAAAAGCCATCTCTAGAGCGTTTAATCCTGACTGTGGCAGAAAAAAGGAGATAAAAACACGACACCAACCCAGGCCATTGGATGATCTTCTAGAAGCTGGATTTGCCCACAGCCACCCCGGAGCTGCCCCATGTCACTGTCCCCATGCCACTGTCCCCATGTCACTGTCCCCATGTCACCGTCCCCATGTCACCGTCCCTGTGTCACTGTCCCCCGTGTCACCATCCCCATGTCATGGTCCCTGTGTCCCTGTCCCCATGTCACTGTCCCCATGTCCCTGTCCCCGTGTCACTCTCCCCGTGGCACTGTCCTGGTGTCACTGTCCCCATGTCACTGTTCCCATGTCGCTCTCCCTGTGTCACTCTTCTCGTGTCACCCTCCCCATGTCACTGTCCCTGTGTCCCCATCCCCATGTCACTGTCCCCATGTTACCATCCCCTTATCACTCTCCCCATGTCACTGTCCCCATGTTCCCGTCCCCGTGTCACTCTCCCGGTGTCCCGGTGTCGCGGTGTCCCCGTACCTGGCGGGATCTTGCAGACGGTGGCCGGGTGCCAGCCGTAGCGCTGGTTGCAGTTCGGGGACTGCACGAAGATGGCGCTGTCGCTGAGGCACTCGGCGAACACCTCCCCGCCGATGTAATAGAGCCTGACACCGCGGCCTGCGACACGGGGACAGCGGGGACAACGGCGGGGAAACGGCGGGGGAACGGCGGGGACAACGGCGGGGACAGAGTGGGGGAAACGGCGGGGAAAGAGCAGGGAAAGAGCGGGGACAGAGGAGGGGGAACGGCGGGGAAAGAGCGGGGAAACAGCGGGGAAACAATGAGGGAAACAGTGGGGAAAGAAGGGGGAAAGAGCGGGAAAAAACAGCGGAAAAAAAGCGGAAAAACAGCGGGGAAAGAACGGGGAAAACCAGCGGGGAAAGAGCGGGAAAACAGTGGGGAAAGAACGGGGAAAACCAGCGGGGAAAGAGCGGGGAAACAATGAGGAAACAATGAGGAAAAGCGGGGAAACAGCGAGGAAACAACGGGAAAAACAGTGGGGACAGCGGGGAAAACAGTGGGGAAAAGAGCGGGGAAACAATGAGGAAACAGTGAGGAAAAGCGGTAACAGGAATGGGATGGATCCCTCATGGGGAAAACTGATACAGGGGGTGGGAGAGATCCCCCCAGGGTTGAAAACTGACCCGGGGTTTGGGATAAATCCCTCAGGGGAGAAAAACACTGGGAAAATCTGATACAAGGGCTGGGAGAGATCCCTCAGGGGAAAACACCTGGGCAAGTGCCCCAGGGGCTGGGATGGATCCCTGAGCCAGCTCTAAAGCAGCAGCTCAGCTACCAGTGATGGAAACTCTGTCCCACTGGACATTCCAACAAACTGCTCCATGGGCAGGGGAGCTGAGGGAGAAACGAGCACCAATTCCAGTTGGAATTGTCCCTTCCAAACCTGCTCCCTCCAAACACAGCACACTGGTAATTTTCCATGTGAATGTTCTATCATTTAACACATGAAAGTCATCATTTCTATCAGTTAACACATGAAAATCATCATTTCTTCTGGAAGTTATCCCAGCTGGACACAACTGTTTAGGATTTACTCAATGATTTAGAATTAAATTCCACAGCAATTCCAAATCCTTGCCTTTTTTTTTTTGCTGGAGATGACTTTGTGTACAAGGACATACATTGCCCATAGGTGTTTGCACAAATCATTAAAATCTCAGTTAATAAATGAACAAGGTTGCAGAATAAATTTTGTTGCTCAAATAAACATTTGATGTGGCCTCACATTCCTGTTTGAATTTGTTGCTTTCATCCTTCCATGGAGCAGAAGGAATCTGCTGCATTTAAAATCTGATTTCTGAATCTTGGTGGGTTTTGGGGATTGTAGTATAATAATCTTCAAAACAAGTGAGGAAAGATCCTCCTGAGCAAGAGGAGGATTCTCCTATTGCTCAGGAAAGGGGAGCAAAATTAGGACAAAAATCAGGTTCATTTTTGATGAACTGAAAACGAACTGGCTGGAAAAGTGAAAATTGCGATGACAATCGAGGAACTCATTTATAAAAAGGTCAGTCAGAAAATAAAACAGTGCAGGAGGGAAAAAGAACACACAAAATTATCCCTGACATCCCTCCAGACACACAGAGTGTGAAACGGTCTAAATTCTATGGCATGCATTTCTGTATTACGATTACGTGACAAAACACAATTAAGTGTTTCTGCATGGCACATCAGCCTAGAACCCATCCATATTCCCACCCAGGGGTGCCAAACCTGCTGATTGAGAGGTTTTTTTGGGTTTTTTTTTGTCCCCATGCCCAGGGCAGGAGCAGCAGAGTTACCGATGTGCCGCCTCGTCAGCTCCACGGCCGCGTTCCTGTTGACGTTGGACAGCAAACCCAGGCAGAAACGCTCCGAGTTGGAGGGGTCAGTGAAACCATCCACGGTCATGGAGGGCTGGGAGGCGTGGAAAGTCTCCCCCACCCTCTGGTTGAGCTCGTAGTAGGATATGGAGCACCAGAAGGCTGGCTCGCAGTAGGTCACGGGCTGCAGGTCTGCACCAAAGCAAAGCCAAATCAGCCACAGCAAGGGGGAAAAAAAAAAAAAATAAAATAAAGGGGGGGATGGAAAATAAACAACCACCCGGCTGGTTTGGAATATTGTGCTGCTTCATTCCTCAGGCTCACTTCGACCCAAGTTGCATTTTAATGGACCACAGCAAGGAGGTGACATCACCCCTGGAGCCTCTGGCACGTGGAGCAATCACAAATAGTCAAAGGCATTACTCACGTAGCAAGTGAGGTGTCACTGAGCAGCCTCACACTTGGGGGAAACTAAATAAATAAACTCAGCTTTACTGTGAAATGTGGGATCACTTGTAGGTAGCCAGTTCCCTAAAGAGACAAAAGGAAGGAGCAGAAAATCTTGGCAAGAATGAAGCACAAAGCTGCAGGCGTGCTGCACCCCAAATCTGTGCACTTCCAACCAGAAAATCCAACTTTCCTTCTCACTCACCCTGCTGTGACCTCTCTGGCACTGGTGAAACCAGTAAAGTCTGAAATATGCCCCAAACTGCCTTTAACACAGGCATCAAAGTGATTTAAAAACTTTCTCCCAGTGCACTGGGTCTCAAACCATCCCAGGAAAATCCATTTTCCCAGCAGGTGAAGGCTCAGCTCCTCCCCTGGGGTCCTGGTTTGCCTCGTGGACTGAAGCCAAGGGGCTGAAGCTGAGGAGCAGAGGCAGCCTCAGGAAGGCAGGGTGGGCACTCAAAGAGCCCTGAATGATTTCCCTGCTCCCACTGAAGCCCAGGAGACTCCAGCAGAACAAAGCTCAAGTGAAATTTCCTGGAAATGCAGCACAAGGAGGTGCCCAGCCCTGCTGAGAGCCGAGCAGGGCACGTGCAAAGCACACCCAGCCAATTCCTGAATGCTGTTCCCCACAGCCAGAATTCCCTCCAGCCCTCCCCAAAATTTATCACTTCATCCCCATTCAAATGGTGCTTAAAGACAGAACAGAAGAGCTCCCATCTGGCCAAGGAGTTAACACCGAGCAGCAAACCCCAGCTTTTTCCATAGGCTTTCCCATCTGTTGCTCCTGCAGGGCTTAGGAGAATGTGGGGCTTAAGAGATCAACTCCAAAAAGATCCAAGACAGGTTTTTATCACCCCAGCGTCCTCTCACACTGACCAGGGTCTCTGCAGGGGTTTGGGAGCCATTTCTCACCTGTACCTGTTACTCCATAACCTTCAGGCACAGGTTGGAGCAGCCAAAAGACACATTGGCTTCCTCTCCATTGCTGGAAGAGTTCCCAAAGTAGCCAATAATCAGGAAAATCGCTTTGGTTTCTGCTTTGTTGCAAGCTTTGCTGACAGCAAATAAGGAATTTGAATACAAGTGCATCTGGGGAACTCTAATCCTCAGCAGGCTTCAAAATCCATGGAATTTGGAGCTTATACCCATTCCCAGCTTCTTTCACCTGCCACTTCCTCACATTTTAATTTTACAGCTCAAAGCAAGCCCCTCTCTTGATAGATTATTTCACACATCCAGGGGTGACACAAGTTTACTGTCCCTGCCTTTTCCTCCTGCATGGCACATTTGGCAAGTTTTTCCAGCCTCATTTCAGCTGTGGCCACCTCAGGACTGCTCTGGGCTCTGTGGCCCCAGCAAACACCAGCTCTGCCCAGAGCCTCCCAAGGGGAGTCCACCCACCAAAGAAAACAGATCAGTTCCACATGACTGGGCTCTTACTCCACAGCAAGTGCTTTTCTAATCACAAGGCTGCTCAGCTCCAGAAAAATCAACCTGTGTTGATCCTTAAGTAAAATCCTCACGTTGGTGCTATTCAAGTTATAAAAACACTGAAACCTCTCCATGGTTTTGTGGTCCTTTCCTTCAGAAACCACCTCCACCTGGCTGGGGCTCAAGGGAACTGTGGATTCCTCACTGAAGGATGTACAGAAATTTGATTTCTGGCTTATCTGCAGCTTGAGGAAAGACATAAACCAACAAATCCTGGTTTGAGGAAAAGCTTGTCTCTAAAAACTGCAACCAAGTTTTTAATGGTGCTGCTTTCTCCCGTGATTTGTAGTTTTAAACTTCAGTTTAAGCTGCTGTGGGATGGGCAAGTTCCCTCTTGTGTTAGAGCTGTCCTAAATATTCATTTTCAATTTATGGCTTCAGTGTTTGGGGGAAAGGAAGAGAATGCAGCTCTGCTAAAGCCAAAGAACCCTGTGGGGGTACCCAATCAATAAAACAGGATACATGAAACCCAGGCAAATCCTGCCTGATTCATCTCTGCACAATTTCAGCCTTGACTCAGAACAGCTTCGCTGTCAGAAGTGTCCCCTGGGCCCTGGGATGCTCCCAGTCCTGCATCCTTCCCTGCCACATCAAAGTCCTGGGAAAACTCTGCAGCCTGCTCTGCTCCCCCTCTCTGAGCACGAGGGAAGTTGTTACCCTCCTTTCAGGGAATGTTTTTGATCACAACGTGGCTCAGACCTCGCTGAGAGATGATTCCAGCTCTACCAACCCCATCTCCCTCCTGGGAAAGGAGGAGATGCAGAGAGGTGAGTGCTGCCTTCACTCTGCAGCCAGGGAAGGGCTGGCTGTGCCCTGGGACAGGGGGACAGAGGGACAGAGGGACGTGGATGTGGCCCTGGGCCATGTGCTCATCCCTCTGACAGCTCCTGCCTCAAGCCCTTCTGTGGAGCAATCCCTGACAATGGATTTCCTGTGCTCCAAGGGACGGCCCCCTCGGAACAACAATGTGTGTGTGACCACAGGGCTGCTCCTCAGCCAGCCTCAACTCCCTGACTTCATTCCCAATGCCCACAGAATGCTGGCAACTCTCCTTCCATTCTGTTCTTAGTATTTCCCTCACTTCGTGTTTCAGCAATAGGGAAGAGATCCTTGGATATCTGTGACTTCCACTTAAAGCTTATGTTTGACAACTGAAAACTTGACAACTGTAATTTGGAACCAAAACTCAAACACTTCCAACTCCAACACACAAACTGAAAGGAGAATTTAAAAAAAAAAATTTGAAAAAAATCCCAATATGTTACTTTGCAACGCTTTTGTGCCTGGGAATGGAAAGATGAAATTCCCTGAGCTCTTCCATCCCACGTTCCAGCCTGACATGGAAAACCTGCCCTGGCCCTGGTGTCACACCTGGTTTGCCTTGTGCTGCTTTATTGCCTCTGGAACTCCCTGGAATATGGCCACGGGATTTAAGTCCAAAGTTCAGTTTACACAAAGTGAAGTGTCTGAAAAGCTTCAGGTAGCTCTGCTCAAATAAACAAAGCAATCCTGGGACATCGTTTTCTTCATGGCAAAGCTGGAAATGCCCTCCCTCTGCTCGAGAGCTGAGGAACTCCCTCCATGCACACACTGCTCTGGGGTTTGGATTTCTGTTCCATTTTCTCCACAAATCCACAGAGGAAGCCTCATTAGGCTCCTACAGAGCAAAGCCCAGCCCTTGACAGTGGAATTCTGCTTTTCCAGGAATTACAGGAGTGCTGCAGGTCAGCAGCCACCAACAGCTCCAAGTGGAGAGAGCAGAGAGCCCCTGCCTGGGCTGTGGCCATCAGGCTGAAGGTCTGATTTCCCTGAGAGCAGCTCCTTGCTGCAGATACGACATTTACAACACTCATGTGATGAAAATTTTGCCCTTGGACAGTTCTAAGTGTGGCTCAGCTGCTCTTTCATTTATTATTTCGTAGCTTCCTCAAAGGCAAAAATTTACAATAAAATTAAAAGCAACACAAGAAGTTCTTCATTTGTGGAAGCTCCTGCCTGAGAGCAACAAATACGGTTTGCAAGAATTCAAAGGCATTTTTTTAACGCTGGTAAATTAAATTGCTTCTCTGCTGTCTGCTCTTCAGACTACAAAGAGATTCCTTGTGCTTTACCAGCTTCACCTGCTCCTTTTTTATTTTGTCCCCAGACAGCACCTGAGACATCTGATGTGTCAACAACCAGTGAGGAAGGATATGGGGGGTCTGTTTCCTAGGAACTCCCTTCTGCCTCATGTAAGGCAGATGCCACTTGCCAGGTTGAGTTTGTTACATGGAATTGGCTTTTTATTTTTAGGTTGGAAAGAAAAAAAAAAAAAAAAAGGAAAAATTTGCAAGAAAAATCTCATCAGATCCCAGGCAGCACACTGGGAAAAACGAAATAAAAATGTCTCAGTCATGCATTCTCTTCTTGGGCTGTAGAACTTAAAGAAATAAAAGTTTTGTGTCACCATGGCAATATCTTTAAAAAGTAGGGAGAAAAAAAAAAAAAGAAACCCTCTGTTCAACAGCCCCAAGATATCCACAAGTCAGCCAATGACTGACAAATTTTGGAGCAGTGTCCAAGCCCTGTGTGCCAGGATTAAAAGCATATGTAAACTTTATGGCCATGGCTCTTCCAGAGCAGTCTCAAGTGGGCTCTGTCTGCTGCCTTAAGGAACAGTTGGGGAGCTGATCCTGCAGCCAGGCAGAGCTGGGAGGGATTTTTGTGGCAGAGCAATTCCAAAGTGGTGGAGATCAGAATGAAAATAAAGGGTGGAACTTTTGAGATACCAGAGGTGCAGAGAGAGCCACAAAAGCTCTCGTGGTGTCTCAGCTGCTGTCCCTGCTCCTCAGGGCTCCCCTGTTTGGTGTCACACGTGTGGAATGACACAGTGCCAGCCATGGTCTGGCACAGCCCCGGGGGCTGGAATGGGCTCCCTGTGCCCAGGATGGAGCTG